CTTAGGGCATCTGCTCTCTCTCTTACCACCACTCCGAGTTCCTAAATACTATTCCTCTGCCAGTGGATCTCTAGGACTCCTTTTCTCTTCAGCCAGCCAAGAAACACCTTCCTATCATGTGTCCCAACTTTTGCTGGGGGGCAAGGGATGAGCAATCTAGAGTAGTGCTATATGGATCCCTAAGCGGTACAGTTCTTTCAGTTTTACTACACAACCCTTTCCTTCTCAAGGACCATAATAAGCATTCAATAAATATTTATTGAACAAATGTGTGAGTAAACGAGTATACATGTGTGCTTCAGTATATAAAGCCCAGCTCAGTTCCAATAAGTCAGACTCTTTCATCACTTAAAGTGACTTCTGTTCTTTCAAAGATCCTATTGTCCTTCCCCTGTAAAAATGCTCACATTAGTATGCTCATCCCCCATGCACATTCCATCAGACATGTTCAAATCCCTCTTGTGGACAAGTTCAAATTTGTCCTCATGGTATTCCCAGACTCCATACAAATCAAGAAATGAGATTATAGATTCTAATAGGAGAAGAGTGAAGTGAGGTTTTACCTTACTTAATTCTAAATACAGGCATATATATTTATTCACTAATGCTTTCTGGGCACCTGTTACATACTGTACAATTATGCCTGATCCCTAATTCAAAACAAACAAGAAAAACTGTGAGTTCAGAGTTCAACTAAAACAATTTTTCCAATTGTTTTCTTAAAATTACTCACTTGTAGACGTCCTATATTGTCAACTGCGAGGACCATCACTCCATTTTCTTGAAATACAACATCTACTTCTTGCTTTAACACTATATCATAGTTCTTACATACTTTCTTTGTCTCCCAGAGCTGATTAAAAGATAAAAAAACTATTAATAACAGTTCATCCTCTGAAATAATGTAAAGACAAGACTTCATTTTAAAGCAAGATACAAACTATGTTTCATAATTAAAATATCTATGATGCCAAAAATTTTTCAATTATTACATTATAATCCAACAATAAATATTTACTATTATTAACACAATCTATAGTACAATGCAGTTAGTATTAAGAGCTATGGGCTCTAGAACCAAAATGTTTCATTACAAATTCTAGTTCTAACTAAAGTTATAACTTTGGGCAGGCTGCTTAACCCAGTGCTACTCAAAGATAAGGACCTCCTGGTTTTCACACTGATTGGGCAGGCTGCTTAACCCAGTGCTACTCAAAGATAAGGACCTCCTGGTTTTCACACTGATCCCAATCCACAAAAAGATAAGAAACTTGCACCAGAATGTAAATCAACTATATCACTAAATATACTGTAACAGTGTGCTTAGTGATGCAGTGTGTTTAGTGATGTAGCTTATTTTTTTTTAACAAGACATTTTTTTTCCTTTTTATTTCATCATATTATGGGGGTACAAATATTGTTAAGGTTACATATATTGCCCTTGCCATCCCTCCCCCTTCCCCTGGCCGTGTCAGAACTTTAAGCATGTCCATTCTCCAGGTTAACAAGACTTTCTTGACGAAGAAAGGCGTGCATTGATTTATATTCTGGCTCCAACTCACTGAGACTGGCACATTAAGTAGCACTGACCTTTCTCGGCCTTCCTTTGCGTAACCTTTCTGTGCCTATTTCCTCAGCTACAAAAGGACTGTTGTGAGAATCAGTAAATTAATACATACACAGTACTTTGCACATTGTCTGGCATATAGTATTATAAATACTAAATAAATTTTAGCTACAATTTGTATAAAACATTGTAATAGATACTATAGGGACCAACCAGGGTCCCTGGCCTTTAAGAGTTTATAATCTAAGACGTGTGAATAAGTCAGAAGAGTAGTAGAGTATTGAAGGTGAGGAGTAAATCAAATCAAATCTGTATTTAAATTCAACTCAGAATTTGATAAGCACCATTAGAAAATGACAAAAAATTATATGGCATTAAGGGAGACAGACTTTCCCCAAAATGAGGAAGGCTTGGGGGGATTTGTAGGCTAGTTAGGATTTCAACAAAAAGGGATACAGGGAGGTAGGATATTACAAACATCAGAAACACTTAAACAAAAGTACATAAGCAGGGAACCACAGGGTGTTTAGGAGCAGTTCAGCGTAGGTTCTCTATAGGAATAAACTGGAAGATAGACTGGAGCAGAATGAGGCCATGGTATGGAGAAGCTTAATGGCAGTCAAAGAATTATATATTTACTCTGGCAGACAAGGGACCCACTACCTGTTTTTGAGCAAAAATGACATGACTGTACTGCAAATAAGGAAAATATCTTGGAAACAGCATGCAGAAGAGCAAGAAAAAAGACTAATACAAGAAGAGAGGCAACAGGTAATGAAGACCTGAACTTGTGCAGAAGGAATGGAAAAGTAGAGATAAATCATAGAAAACAGAAAAGATGAATCTATTAGAATTGGCAAGTAATTGGATGTGGGAATTCAAGGTTGAGGAAAGAGTCAAAAATTACTCTGAGGAATCAAATGTAACATATTTAAATTAACCAAAATACAGTTTAATCATTGGACTTCCCATAGCACCTGCCCCATAGTAATACTCAATGAACAAATAGTGAATGAATGAGACTGTGATAGTCCATATAATGGCACTTTTCCAGGCTGAATATGAATCCAGTAGTTTCCTGTTTTACTTCCCTCAATACTACCCAATAATTTAATAGGTACTTTGTCATTTTTTATGGCTGAGTAGTACTCCATGGTATACATATACCACATTTTGTTAATCCATTCATGTATTGATGGGCTTCTTTTTCTATTTCAGTAGAGAAGGGGTCTTGCCCTTGCTCAGGCTGGTCTTGAACTCCTGAGCTCAAGCAATTCTCCAGCCTCAACCTCCCAGAGTGCTAGGATTACAGGCAGGAGCCACCACGCCTGTCTACTCCTGTTCTTTTTTCTTTCCAACTGAAGTGTTGTTAGTCTACTCCTATTGTTAGGTCTTTTCTCTTTTGCTACCCCATAATTGGGACAACTGCCTATTCCACATTCACCAAGTTTCCCTATCACTTTCAACCACTAATTTTTTTTTTTTTTTGAGACAGGGTCTCACTTTGTTGCCCAGGCTAGAGTGAGTGCCGTGGCTCAGCCTAGCTCACAGCACCTCAAACTCTGCCTCACCTCCTGAGTAGCTGGATACAGGCATGTGCCACCATGCTGGCTAATTTTTTTTATATATTTTTAGTTGGCTAATTAATTTCTTTCCATTTATATAGAGACGGGGTCTCGCTCTTGTCAGGCTGGTTTCGAACTCTGACTCGGCATCCGCTGCTCGCCTCGCCGGA